CTATTTTATTTCTAGTTTGTTGTATGTTAATTTATACTAATAATCTAAATATAATTCTTGACTCGTTTTAACCTGTTGATTTTATAGCTATGATTAACAGATGTATTTTTTAACTAATCGGGGAAATTTTTCTTATCATTAGGCTGTTTAAGTTTTTTGGACTTCTGTCTTTTTACCTACCAATTACTGTCTTGGGTGCTTAAAAAACAAAGTGTATGCTAATGTGCAATAGGTCAGAAATACTTTACGCAATTATTCACCAAGTAAATTCTTGATTAGTCCACCAGTAGAGGGATGGAAGAGCCCTGAAAGCACATTATTCAAGTATTATTCAACTACTCAAACTGTATCCCTCCAAATAGATACAGGATTCATAGTACCGATGGAATTTGAAGACAAGCTACCTTTGAGATCATCCTTATTATAAACGAGGAGACTGAGACCAGTGTTGAGTTGGGACCAGCGTGCTCCAGACTCTATTCCTGGCGTTCTTTAGTAAGGAAGAAATTAGAGCCTTAGGTCAATTTTGTCATATGTCAGTTGATGGGACTTAATTGCCTCACAGAGTGGTAGGAGGATGAAATGATAGAAAATATGTGAAAGAGGTCTGGGAATTTAAAAATGTAACATTTATTTGGAAGGCTGCAATGTGCCTGCCAGGCACCGAACAAAAAGAGAGAAAAAATCAATCTCTATAGCCAAAGAATTTACAATCCAGCCGGAAAGTCAGGTAAGAGCTAGGAAAAAAATTGATTAAATTCTAAGAACTATGTACAGTTTTAAGAATTTTTAGTTAGGTGTTGTACACCTAGCGTTGCAAGGAAAACGGTGTGTGTGTGAGTGTGTGAGTGTGAGGCATGTATTCTCTTTGGCTTTTCCTAATGGCTTAATACTTACAATGGCAAAAACTACTATTAATAACATAAATGAAAATACGATACCACATAATGGATGGTTTGTCTCTATATCTTCCAGTTCAGTTAGAGCTAAGTGAAGACTGCAAATGAGCAGCCAGCACGGTGCCAAGGAAAAGCGTCTCTTTCAACAGTTCCAACATTGTCGTTGCAGGTTGATGAGAGATGCTTGACTTAATAGAGCACCTCCTAAGGGGCTAACACCGTTGCTGTTATTTCCACCCTCATTCCAAACGCTATGCCGGCTGCTCATGTGCTGAAATATACAGACAGCCCACTAGGCCGTGCTGGATCTGGAGTGCATGCGACAGCCTTTTTTCAGCTCTACCCTGAAGTCCCACCTAGGCTGGGAGGCTCTGGAGGGAAGCCGACCGGCGTCTGGAGCAGCGCGTATTCCCTATCTCTCCTCCAAAAGGCCACACCCAATACAAGGCCCCTATTGTGTCTGGAGGAACAGACTCCCCACAGTGTTGCGATGGCTGCCCCCTTTAAAAAGGAGCGAGCGGCTCTCGCGCCAGTGACCTCAGCCAGAGAGGAGGCGAGGAGGCTGCAGGCAGGGCAGGTGGCAGGAGCTCAGAGACTCACGCTCTAGGGCCGCTCGGGCGCCTCATGCCCACGTGCCCGCCTTGCGCGGGCGCCGCCGCACCTGGAGGCGGAGCCAAGCCCCGCAGCCACCGGCTCTCGGTAGCGAAGTCCCCTCCCCGCGCTCCTCCCGCCACGCTGTGCATGCGCGCAGGTGCGTGAAAGCGCGTCGCCCAGTACCTTGCAGACGTGGGCCCGCCATGGAGCACATCCGCACACCCAAGGTTGGTGGTACCCGCGCGGGCGGAGGAGGGAGCAGGAGGTGGGATGCTGAGCGAGCGGGAGGCCTGGCTTCCCTGCGGGGCGCTGGCCGAGTCAGCACCAGGAGCGAGGCAAGAGGAAGCAGCGTCTGAGCATCTCCTGGTTCGCTGTGAGCCTCATATTTCTGCTGCTGCCTCACAGGCCTAGTAGCCTTGACTGCTGCTGCATCTAACCTCATGTCCTTGGGGTGCGCAGTGGACATAGGGGTGGACAGGAGAGAAACCCAATTATCTGTTAAGCAGCGGGGCTGCTGATCTGCTGATAAACACTCCCTTCTGGTCTTGCACTATGTTGCTACTGCTTTTTTTTTTTTTTTCCTCCAATTTTAGTAGTTGAAAGAGAAACAAACCTTTCTAATGACAGGTGCAGGGAATCGACTTATGTGCAGGTGGATTGAATGCACACGGGAAGTTCGGTGAATCTAAGGATTCAAACCCGCCCAACTCTCCCTTCCGCTTCCGTATCATCAGGCTATCAGCCGCAGGGGACCTTACACGGGGCAAATGATCAATAATCTCTGTAGGTTGAATGGTATTATCAATCTTTCCATCTCATTGTTTTATCCAGCCTATTCCTTTCTTTGGAGAGAAGGATGCAGCTTATAGATTCATCCTCTGGTGTGCTTTGAACAACACCAGATTTTGCCACTCAGAAGCGACTGGTCCCTGATCATTCCAGTTAAATAACCTTGGAAACCACCGCTGTACCAAACTTTCCCCTCATAGTTGTACTAATGATATTCTTTAGAGTGAAAAGGATGATCGGCATTCTTGTCTAATAAAAACTCTAAACTATTGAAAGAATGTATTTAAAAGCCTATTGGCTATCTCTTGTCACTACCACCACAGCTCCTTGGTTTCCAGGATGATCTCATGCTAAAAATTTAGGCCCTTGACAGAGTTAAGTCGAAGCTGGGTCTGCATGGTCAGAAATTAGGTAGCCCCAGGGATCCCATTCAGCCCATGGGGGAAGGGGTGCATTACTTTGCTGTAAGTCCAGTAAGAAGAATTCATTTTTAAATACTGGATTGGTTCCTAAGTACCTCTTTGTAAAAGCAGCTTTATTAATCTCTGATGTCAGTGGAAGAATAAATCTTTTAGTTTGCTAGAGAGTGTCAATTTTAACAGTAAATTTAAATTGTATTGCTTTTGCACGATGGAATTAAATTGTTGCTTCACAATTGGGAAATTGTAAACGTTAAAGAGAGTGCCATAAACCACAAGGTAGGTGGCTCAAAGCTTTCAGGGTTTAAGTGGTGCTAAATAATTTATTCCGGAATGATGAATTTAACTCATGGATTCTCTCTGCCCTTGCTAAGAGCATCCTTCCTTTGTCATGATGAAGGGGGCCCTTTATAAGAATGATATCTGATGTGAATGTCAATAGCAAGAATGATAGGGGGACATGGCGCTGGATGCTATTTTCCTATAGAATATGATTTCGAGGAGTAAATGCATTTTCTAGTCCATATTCAAACTTACTCTGTGCAAAGCCATGTGTGTAAACCTGAGCGACAAGCAATATTCTCACTTATTCTTCAACTATTTTCCATAAATACCTTCTAAGCAGTGCAGAACTTCAAATCAGAAATCTCCTATCAGGAAATGGAAAGGAATGGGGGTGGGGAAATGGAGAATTGTCTGAAATGTCATTGAATTGAGGGTCATTAACATTTAGGGTAATACAGGTGGGAAAAAAACTACAGAGTTTAGGTGAATGCAATTCATTTATTCATTCATTTCATCCCGCAAGCATTTGAGAATCTTTCACATGCCAGGCTCTGTGTTAGGTCCTGGGAGCACAAAGCATCAAGGAGCTCCCACTCTGGTAGGGGGGGGCAGTTGTATATCTAGAGACATGTCCAAGGGACAGCAGGCAGGGAGAGGAGAATGGATGGAAAATAAGTTCTACCATAAAGAGTGAGGCAAGCCTTCTTAGAAGAGCTGAATCTTAACATGCAAGGAGTCAAGGAGGATCAAGAGCATTTGACAGCTGTCATGCACTTATATAAATATGATGTATTGTAATAAATCAACTACTGACTCAAAGAAGCTGAAAACCTTAACAGCGATAGATAGAAATGATTTCTTGAGGCTAAACATCTCTTCATTTTACATGTTTAAGTACAAAACTAATTTTCACAGTATAATTAAAGGAGAACAAGACCTCTTACAGAGCATGCATTGCAACATGTATAATTATTGATGGTCATATTCATCTGTATTATTTGCTTCTATTATACTATGGGGGTGCTGAATAGGTAGCTTGCCTTAGACTTCATGATTTCATGTTTTGAGTGGCTTATAAGAAGTATACCCACTGTGGGTTTAAAGTGGTATTTACCATGTGGATAAGAGGGTTTTATTTTAAGAGGCAGAGAAATGAATGCATGTACAATTGCTTTCCTACTCGAGTGAAAGTCATTCATTTACACATTGTAAACTGTGTGATACCCATCACAGCCTCTGTGTTCTGCTTCAGTCTTGGGAGGACAGTTTAAGGAGACAGATGCACACAAATAATCTGTAATGCTTTGTACATATTTCTTTCTCTGTGTGTGTGTGTGTGTGTGTTTAATGGAAGGTTATAACAGAGTATGCTAAGCAGGATATTTCTCTCCCAGAATGGTTCCTCTATAGAAAAAAAAAATATTCCAAGGACAAGCTAGTTTGCAATTGGTTTGAAGTGAGGACACCAAGCATTACCTGAACTCATCACAGTGAACTTTTGGGGTTCTACTTCACTGTCTGGCTTTTTTACCACTCTGAAACCTTGCTGGCAAGAAAATACTGTGCAGGAAGATTGGGGATAATTTGGGTTCAAGTACTACTTAGACATGTGAAAAGGTTTCAGAGCTCCTGGAAGTAGCCTGATGTGCTTGTAGGATTTGGTTTGGTACTGGATTGATGTTCATGTGTTTAAGGAGTCTGGCTAAGTAATCTCTACTTTTTGTACTTTGGTCTTTCTAGAAGACATTTTTTCCACATGTGTAAATCTGAGTTGTAAAATAGAGTATGATGACCTTCAGAACTCCAAAAAAGAACTCGAAAATGACTTCCGGTCTCCTCGTTTCCTCTTTGCTCTTATCTAATCTCTTCTCCACAGAGGGAGCCTAGATGATGCTTTTATGACCCAAATTGATCGTGTTATTTCCCTGCTCAAATTCTTGGGTAGCTTCCCTTTGTACCCAGATATAAAGTGAGAATCCCCAGAGTGGCCCATAAGGCCCTGCCTGGACTGGACAGATGCCTGTTTACTCCCTCAGCCTCATTCTGTGACAGTCTTATTATTTAGAACCCAGCGATCACCACTGGCCTCATGGGTTTTCAGATGTGACAGGTTCTTCCTTGCCTCAGGACTTTTGCACTGCCCTTTCATCCTGGGGGTGCTTTTATCCTCACTCTTCATCTGGCTAACTCTCTCATCTTTCAGATTAAATATATTTTTTCTCAGAAAGGCTATTACCTAGTTCCTCATCTAAATCAGATCTGCCTGTTATATTCTATCACAGAGCCCAGTATTTCACCTCAAGCCCCTAGTTATAAGTTTCATATTGATTTGAGTGATTATTTGTTTAATGTCAAGCTCTCCTACTAAGCCAAGAGCCCTGTGAAGGTGAAGATCATATCTTGTTCGCCCCTGTGTCCACAGCGCCTAACACAGTTTCTGGCACCAAGTAAGCACACGGTAATTAAATTAATAATTGAATAATAGATGACATAAATTATTCTCAATTTTAACACTTCAGTTTTTGGTATTTGCTCTAGTAGTCCAAGCCTCGTATGCATTACACCCACGATTAAGTACAGTATTGTAAATCTCTAATAGTACTAGTGTTAAGTACTTGTCAATATCAATATATTATGTAAAATGTATGGCATATATATTAAATGATATATATTTTGAGATAATGTATAGCTTTAGTGAGATCAAATTCAAATAACATTCACCATTTCAGTCATTGTAAGTGTACAATTCAGTGTTTTTTTAGTGCATTTACCATTTTGTGCAACTGTCACCACTGCCTAATTCAGAACATTTCATCACTCCCAAAAGAAACCCAGAGTCTATTTGTACCCAGATATAAAGTGATTTCTCATTCCCCCCTCCAGCCCATGGAAACCACTAGGCTACTTTCAGTCTTTATTAGATTTGCCTCTTCTGGACATTTCATATAAGTGGAATAATAGAATATGTGGCCTTTTGTGACTTGCTTTTTTTCTGTCACTTAGCATAATGTTTTCTAGGCTCATCCACGTTATAGCATGTATTGGTACTTAATTCCTTTTTACTGCAGAATAATATTCCATTCTTTGAATATACCACTTTCTGTTTATCCATTCATCAATCGATGGGCATCTAAGTTGTTGACAAATTTTGATTGTTATTGACAGTTATGAACACTCATATAGTTGTTTTTTGTATGAACATAATTTTTCAATTCTCTTAGGTGTACCCTAGAGGTGGAATTTCTGGGTCACATAGTAACTCTATGTTTAATTTTTGAGGAAATAGTGATTACATCTTTCCAGAACCTAGGTACTTTGGAAATAATTGTTTAAGTAGTATGAATAGATAGGACTACATCAAAAGAGAATGTAGATTTCTATTGTTATATAATTTCATAGAAAAACAACCCAGTGAGCATGAAGTTATACTTTTATCACTCCAAATTCACATCTAATTTGTGCTATGCCCTTTTTGCATAGTCATAAATAGCATGCTTTTTCCTCTTTTTGAGCTTTTGCCCAGCATTATTCCATGTATATATTTTATATTCAGAAGTCTTCCACCTTTCATTGTTTTAACTATTGCATCTTATTCATTTGATTAACTATTAGGGATTTGTGAGCGGAATGACTGAGAGTAGGGACAGTCTTATAAGGGTTCTTATTACAAAATATCTTTTAGAATTGAAAGCCTCTCATATGGCCTTGGGTTTAGGCAAATTTGTAAGAGTCCC